GTGGTGGAAATTGAAAGAAAATAATTTGGAAGTAAAATTTTTATGGACTCCGTCACATATTGGTGTACAAGGAAATGAAAGCGCAGATCATTTAGCTAAAAGTATAGTCACAGCTGACATAAACAGAATAACCGGTATAGCAATACCACATACAGATTTATATTCAATTTTAAAGCAACAGATAAAAGAAGAATGGAAAATGCAATGGAATGCTGTTTTAATTGCAGGAAAAGGTCTTTGGTATATATCAATTAATTCAGAATTAAGTATCCCTTGGTTTTCTCGCAACAAGAGATATCATAGCAGAAAATTTTATACAATAATGTGCAGACTTAGATTTGGCCACTATCAACTGAACGCTCATCTTTCCAGGATGAGAATAGTAGCACCTGCAACATGCAACGATTAAAATTTCCAATATGGACCATCGATTTAAATGCCCATATTTTTTTGTAGATCGCTACGGCGATCTCGGTGCCTGCGCTTCCCTACGGCGGGCGGGTACTGCTCTCCACGCCTCCGGGCTCTTATATACACTCTAGGGGTTGGGCAGACAAGACCACGTGGATAGTGGGGTGCTCTGATTCAGTTTTGGGTACTTTTTGGATATTAAATAAGTAAGTATACACTTTATTGTAGTAAGAATTAGATAATACAGAAAGTTGCAAACAATAAAGTACAAGTACAAAAGCTGTACTAATTAAGAAATACAAACAAGTTGCAAACAATGAAATACAAGTACTAAGGTGGAACTTAAATAGAGTAAACTTTATTCTACTTTACATACATATATTATTGCACTTCACAAGCAAGCAATCAGCTCTTCCTATGCATCTAATTAGTTTGTCATAATTTTTCGTCTCCAAAATTAACGAAATATACTCGATACCAAGTAGTATTGATACTTTTGATACGATACTTGATATCGAGTAGGTATCGATACTTTCAAAATATTCAGAACCCTACACTAATTGACGTTTGACATCAATCATTTGTCAAATTTATTTTGTAATTTCGTGCTATTTGCCAATTTGTATGAAAAGTTAAAAAAAATATATCTCATGAACCGTAAGTTTCCGCAACCTAAAACTTTGCAAAACGCTTTCTTTTAGTGAGTACTATCTACAAAAAAAATATGGGCTTTGAAATTGATGATCCATATTGGAAATATTAGCCAATGCAACTTCTGTGATACAGAAGCAGATCAGACTGCAGAACATATAATATTTAACTGCCCAGCGTACGCCATAGAAAGATTGCTACTCATTAAAAAACTTATACAAATTTATGAAAACTCAGAAAGCGTCCCGCGTGCCCTGCAAGATGAAATATGGTATTCCTGTTTTTGTAAATATTTGACTGATAAATCTATATGGATTGAAACTTATAAAGATGATAATATAAAGAAGACTAGGTTTTAGCCTTTATAGTTTTTGAAAATATGAAGAATTAAAGAAAATAAGACTTGGTTTTGGCCTTTATGGAATTTGAAGAGATGGAAAGAAGAAAAATAAGACTTGGTTCCGGCCTTTACATTGACCTCTATATATACAAGTACGCTGGACTGGCTATACCATACAAAATGTCTGTGCCAATTTGAAGCACCCCTAACGGTTGTCTTGGAAACTAAAATTGACATAATATGTCAAAGTCTTGTTCTCTTATTTAAATGGTCATATTTACAAAATTCGTATTTTGAACTTTTAAATTAAAAAACGAAAGTATTTTATGTTGTTTGATTGTTTATAATATTAGTTACATAATAAGAATTATTTTTAATAACAATAAGTGTGCGTAATCTGTAAAATTCGTTACCAAAAGCGAAGTGGTATAACATTTCACAAGTAAGTGAATTTGCAGCTAATATTAAACAAATTAAAACTATTTCATAGTATAAGTACTTAAAAATTTGTTACCAATCTTAATATCATATATACCAACATGTTTGGCTGTATATTAGACGTGGGCGTTATTTCAAGTCACTAGATACAGTAACTGGCTACGCGGCATGTAACCGAATCACTCGTTTCGAGTCATGTTACAAGTAGTGATTTTTGTAAATGCGTGATTATGATTACTGTTACTAACCATGATTATTGCGGGAGTCGACTGTCGGTCGGTCGAGCGCAAAGCGCACATGTGGCATACAAAAAATGAACAAAACATCGTAAGTAACAGTATTATTGTACGTTTAATTTTCATACGTAAGACTATAGACATTGACAATAAAATAGAGTAATCTCCATTTGTATATACATTGAATTTAACTAAAATAATTTTTAAAACATTTTTGACGGAGTCATGAACTCGTTTATTCATAAAATAAAACAAAAAAATGTGTATAAAAAATTTAAAAATTTAAATGTTTATAATATTATAAAACTTAAAAACAGTGTGTAAATAGCCAAACAAATAAACAAATTAATCGTACAGTGTAAATAAAAGTGCAAAAACAAATGATAGTGAAAACGTTGAAAAAATGTAAATAAACTGTAAATATCAATAATCATTATATATACAATCAAATTGACTTGTAAATATGCCTGTATTAATAATTTTATGAAAATCTTAGTGTCATAGTAAACGCAAATCAATCATAAATACATTTAATGCAGTCACTCCTAAACCTGAATAAAATATGAAGGGAAGTTAATTTATTAATTTAACAATATACAGTTACTGTACAGCTACAAACACAGATTGTGATAAAACTTATTTTCGTTTCGTGTGTAACTGTATAGTTGGTGGTGACTGGTGATATTTATGCAAACAATCACAGTAGCCGAATAAAAATAGCCAATTACAAAAATCACTAGTTTTGAAACAGGTGACGCCGATCAAGTCACTGGTTTAGTTACGTTTCTTGAAAATGACGTAACGACCCACGTCTACTGTATATTACTGAGTTTTGATAAACAATAAAATTCAATAGGGTTGTCGAGTTCCTTGTCTATAATACTTATCAATGTTATCTGTTAACAAACAAAGTCGCCAGAGTCGGGAGAACAAAAGATGACTATCAAATGTTTATTAATTAACAGGTTTCCAACTGAACCTAGACTAAAATTATGGCTTAAAAGCATAAATATTGTGAATTGGCGTCTGTAACAAAATGATCACATTTGTTCTGAACATTTCACAGACGACTCTTGTGCAGTATTTCGAATATATTTTCTGGTAGTACCAGTACCAGTAAGTATAAAAGTATTAGATTATTGTTCCAAATGTATTTTTTATTTCTTCTTTCCTCATTTTCCCCCACACTCAAGGGCCATAGCCAAGTGTCGGAAGGTCGCCTGATGATGTCGAGCCACGTTGGATGTGTGTTAGTAGGCTGCGGCTAGAGGAGATTCCTCTCCCAGTACCGCTGTAGTTGAGGTGGAGTCGTCAGGGAAGAGGAGTGTTGGTATGGCGATTGGCGATGCGATGCCTACGACTCTCGACTATCCTTCGCGACTTTGGTGAGGTTGCACCACTTGATGCTTCCAAGTGCTCGTTTTTTCCTAGCTTCATTCACATATCGGGCTTGGGGATCCCGTAGTGCAGGTGGAGTCAGAGGCCGCGAAGGACAGTGTGCCTTGTGTTTCTGGTGCGCCTTATTTGAGAAGAAAAACGGGGGGTAGAAGTCAGTAACTAAGGAGGAGCTGCCATTGAAAGCGTTTCCGTGGCCACGGATGTACATGAAAGCGTTTCCGTGGCCCTATCAATTTGCGGCGGAGGTAGAACATCATGGGGTTTTAATAAGTGCGAGTCTAGAGATTTAATTATCTCTCAAGTTTCAAGATTCAATTTGTGCTTTAACTTCGTAGTGGTCCTACTTTATTTTATTTCATGTTTACGAATCTGGACATCGTTTACATTCACGGTTTTTGGCAACTTCCTCTTCCGCAACATTCACCGATAAAGGCAATTAAGTGTTCGATCAAGAACCCATGGATTGCGATATGTCAAGCCCCCTAGAATACGTGGAATTGCCGAAGCTGGAAAGCTTAGGAGGATAAACTTAGGAATGAGGATATCAGCAGTAGAACCAGAGTGACCGACATCGCCCAATGTATTAGTAAGCTGAAATGGCAATGGACCGGCCATATAGCTCGAAGAACCGATAACCGATGGGGAAAAAAGATTCTCGAGTGGCAGCCTCGTACCGGCAGGTGAAGTGTCGGAAGTTCCCCCACTAGATGGAGTGAAAACCTGGTAAGACATATAGGAAGTTGATGGATTCTAGTGGCTCAGGACCGTGCTTTGTGGCATTCCTTGGGGAGGCCTGTGTTCAGCAGTGGACTTGTGAAGGGCTTTAATGATGATAAATGACAGTGGCATTATATTAATATGATACATAAATAAAATGGACGTTACGGGTAGAGTCCATCTATCCAAAGAGTCCATTCTATTTATTTAGTTATAGGTAGGGTATAGCATTTTTATCGATATTTTTGTCACACTGTCTTGTCCCTATTATTAGTTCCGAAGACGTGCACTTCTGCTGTCAGCGCCAAAATGGCGCAAATCAAATTGCCTTATCATGTTACGGTGTATAGCCAGTCCAGCGTATTTGTATATATAGAGGTCAGTGGGCCTTTACAATTCAAAATTCTTTATGTATATTCAAATTAAAAAAGATAAGGCTGTATGGCTTAGTTTCTTTGCCTGCTCTCTCGAGCGAATAATAAAAACAACAACAATCAATGAAGTTATCAAGCATGTCAAGTGTCAATTGAAAACGTGATTATCGTGCGCTGCGCTGTCTAAATTTTACTATTTTCCTCTAAAACCGACGAGAGCGATATTAGAATTATGGCTTATCGTTCAAGTTAAGTTATTAGTTAGATAGATTTTAATTAAATTCAGATTTTAATTATGATTTATCAAATATATTTATCAATAGTATTAGGACAGAGACAGATATTTTAGATAACAGAGGCAGATATTTATCTAAACTTACTATTTACGAGAACAAATATATTTATCAGTACTATTAGGCGCTGAAGAATTCCACAATGGGCATTTTTAGTGAATTACAGTCAAAATTATCGCCTTCAATTAGGTTTATGACTAAAAGTTCAATTTGTACTAAACGACGGCTAATATTTTACTATAGCAGTACAACTAGACCCTTCTGTAGTAAGGTACGATTATATTTTTGCTAACAGAGTTTTAAGTCAGGGAAGAAATTGCAATCATTCATAGTATTCCAGAATGCCACAGCGGAAAGTGATAGTGGAGGAACGTGGCCAAGACGTGTGGTGTCAGGGCTCCAGCCTACTGGCGAGTTGCATGTAGGCAACTATTTTGGTGCATTGCGGCGTTGTGTGCGGCTGCAACAGCAAGGCGATGATGTGATGCTGTTCATTGCTGATTTACATGCTTTAACAGTTCGCCAGGTTCTTATCAAAACTTTCTAGTGTTTTACTTTTTAAACATTTTCCATATTATCCCACATCTATCTAACATTGTGAGGAATCCTGCATTTCTGAGAAATAAATATTTGAAGACATGTTAAGCTCGCCAACACGCATTGGGGCAGCGAGGCAGACACTTCCTTGCCCAAAAACCCTCTCAAAAATGGGATGTACATAGGCTAATCTATACATTTAGATAAAATTGCAGTGTCTGTATTTAATATCGACATAACTGTCTTTTATGAAGTTCTGGGGGTTATTTGTATGATATTAATACATAAATAACCATTTGTAAAAATTATCCTGTAATAAGGAGACTGTATATTTTCTGGAATGAATGAATAAATGAATTACTCAGTGTGGAGTCAAGTAACTAAGTATCACTAGCTTGCGTTTGTTCCAATTCTTACACAATGTATATCGCTGGGATGTGGTTATATTATGTACCTAGTTTTCAAGATATCTTGAAAACTAGGTACATAATATATCCACTTGTCTTGGACTTTTTTAATTTATTTTTATAAATGTTCCATACATTAGGATTTTTACCTGTATTATAGGCAGGTTGCATACATAAATTGCATAAAGACAAACTGACTTGTTAAATTAAGCTGATTAAAGCATATGCTGGTTCTTGCAATGAGTTATGGCATTGAGGTATGCGGGTTCGAATCCTACACAGAATAAGTACTTGTATGGCCTACAAATAACAAATAATCATTCCAGGTCTATATGTTTGTCCTGTTGCAATTTATGTATGTAAACTGCCTACAGAAGTAAATCCTAGTGTAGGGGTCCACCAGGGTTGGCATGAATAAATCATTTTGATTTAAATCATGATTTAAATCATGATTTAAATCAAATGATGTTTTCAATGAAAAACAATGATTTAATCAAAAATGTTTAATTTCACTTTCTTTCACAGAAATAAATCAACATAAAAAAAAAAACAAATTTAGAAATTGTAATTAAGTTACAAACTAGGGTTGTCTGAGAAATCAATATCATGATGAATGAGCTTTTTCAATACAGCTGAAGAAGGTATCGCCTCAAACAGTTGCTTCACTATTGGAAAAATTTTTGACTGTTCCTCTTCACTCAATATATTTTCCTGTGACATCCATCACTCCAGTGGTGTCACATTTTTTACTATTTCTTCTGCGAACATCACACTTCTAAATGGTTTTCATCAATGGTAGCAAAACTAAACCGTTTTAGTGATTTCATTCTTCTTCCAATGCACTTTCTTCTTCTTCATCTGTCAGTGTGAATTCTGTTTGGGTTGGGTCTAATAAAAATGCCAAAAAGCGACAGGGGGACATTGCTTGCTTATATCTCTTTAGAAATGTCGACATTTGCAGTTGCAGTTACATTTAGACCGACAGCCAGTTTTGATAGTGCTTTTTTCTATGAAATGTTCCCAAATCCATTTCCCATCAATTGGTGAGGCATTTTATTTATAATAAATTTGACATGCATGCATCACAACAATGACAATACTAAACAAAACTGCTTATTTGAACGAAAGTTAGACTGTAATTGCAAGCAAAATGGACAAAAAGGAAATCCCTATGTAGTGCATAGGGATTTCCTTTTTGCTTGGCATTCACATATCAGACAAAAGAGAAATCCCTGCGCTGTGTCCGCGCAATCCTTGAGGGATGCCATGCCTTCCGTTTGGCACAAAAATATAGTTAAATTAAATAATAAAATGAAAAATCAAAAAAATCGTGATTAATTAGGATTTTTTAAAAAATCGTACTTTATTCCATTTTTAAAAATATCATGATTTCTTTCTATACTTCCACATTTTTTATAAAATTATTTGTAGTCGATACAAATAATGGTTCTGTTCGGAAATAGTTTTTTAAAGAAAAAACTATTTCCGAACGGAACTTATAAATATTAGTATTTAATGTTTTACAGAACAGATATTTAAATGAAAATATGTTAAATAACAATTTAAAAATTATATGTAACAACTTTAAAAATTGCTCATTTATTAATACAGAATGTGACTATCCATACAATAAATATTACTACTTATTAGATGAGAGCCGTGATAGCTCAGAGAGAGCTGTGGTAGCTCAGATGGTTAATGCTTGCTGTAAATATAACAGAATGCGAGTAACCCGGGTTCGATCCCCACCGGCACCAATGAAATTGTTAATTGCAATTTTAAGTGCTGATTTACCACGTGCTCGGTGGTGAAGGAAAACATCGTGATCAAATAAATGCCTGCATGTCTGAGGAATAAGAAAAAAATATTTCGAAGACGTGAAGTTCGTCAACACGCATTGGGGCAGCGCGGCGGACACTTCCTTGCCCTAAACCCTCTCAGAAATGGGAGGAGGCCTGAGCCCAGCAGTGGGACGTATGTAACTTTTTACTTTTACATATTAGATGTATGTAAAAAATTAATTTTAGGATTGACTCAAACTATTATAAAAATAATTTTTTATGTGCCAAAAATATGTTATTATTAATGAAAAATGCTAAAACAGAATGCAAAACTATTCTAAAAAAGGGCACAATTCCTTTCTACTTTAAGTCTTGTAAAAATGTACATTCAGGTGATAATTGCCAGGAATTGAACTCTGCTACTGCTTCTTTGAACAAAAAGCAAACGGTAAATACCGAAACTTATAAGAAGGGAACAATACCCTATTATTTTAAAAAATCAATACAGTGTTTAAATGGACAATCTGACACACAGTTGCCTTTAGAAACAACTAAATGTTTTCGTCCCTAAATTGGAATTAAATTTTAGAATATTTCACCAGAACGTTGACGGCGCTGTAAATAAAACTGAGGAACTAACATTTGCAATCCAAGGGTTGTCACAAAAAGGTTCAAAGATAGATATGGTGTGTTTGACAGAAACTTTCCTTAAAAAGGTACAGAAATGCTTTTTAAAATGCCTGGTTACAAACTAGTTGCATCATATTCACGGGACAGTAAACGAGGAGGGGTATGTATAAGGTTAAATAACAATTTGAAATATAAAAAAGTGACTAATATTAATGATTTGACATGTAAATTTAATTTTGAATGTTGTGGCGTAGAAGTAAATAAGATTACGATTATCTGTTTATATAGAACTCTTAATAGCAATCCACAAATATTTCTTGAAAATCTAAAACAGTTACTAGCAAGAGTTACTGAAAATCATAAAAAATATGGACATCTTAAAACCAAATAAGAGTTGTGAGGAGTTAGAATTTCATGATTTATTTAAACTATTATTTGATCTTTGCTTCCCAATACACACAATAAAAAGGGAACCATAAATGGTTGACGAAGGGCATTAGAAAATCGTGTATAAGGAAAAGATATCTCTACCTTAGTCAACAATATAATAAAACAAACGGAAAAATACTCAACAAAAAATATAAATCATATAGTTCCATACTTAAAAAGTGCATATATAAATTGAGACAGATACAAAGTAAGAAATATATTTACAATAATAAAAATAAATGTAAAGCCACATGTGCGGTAATTAATGAAAATATTGACGACCAAAATACGAAAACACAAATTGACAGAATAATAAAAAATAATCGGATATATGACGACCCAAAAAAAATAAGTGACATATTTAATCACTTTTATATAAACTTGACAAATAACAATAATTTTAAATATAATGTTGACGAAATAAACAAAACTATCACTACTAATAATACACATACAATATTCCTTAAACCTACTGATGCTATGGAAATATTTCGGATAATTAAAAGGTCTTAATAATACGAACGCAGTAGGATTTGATAACGTAACAACCACTGCAATTAAATTATCCGTACGATACCTATGTCAACCGCTATGTTATTTAATTAATATGTCCTTTGAAGAAGGTACCTTTCAGTTAAGTCATCGTTTACTTAAAGAGGAGCTATTTGGATTTAAACAGAATAGTACAACCTCGTTAGCATGTTTTAATTTGATTTAAATAGTCACCCAAGCTATAAATGATGGCCTTTCAGTTGCGGCAATCTTCCTGGACACGAGCAAGGCGTTCGATTTCATGAACCATAAATTGCTCTTACACAAATTAGAAAAATATGGGATAAGAGGTAAAGCTAACGACCGGTTGAGAAACTATTTATGTGAGAGACAACAATGTGTGGAAATATCTAAAGTCAATAAAGACAAAAAAGTGTTATACAGAAGCGACAATCAGATAAATGACTGGCGTGCCACAAGGCAGTGTATTGGGACCATTCTTATTCATCACGTTTATTAATGATCTCCTTAATATCACTCGCCATAACACAATCTTATTTGCTGATGACACAACCCTTATCGTGAAATGTGAAAATGCAGATACATATGAAATAGAGATAAATAAACCAATCCAAAACATAATAGACTGGCTTTATTGTAATAATTTACAGATTAATATGGAAAAAACTAAAATGATCCAATTTCAGATGTATCAAAGAAAACTATTGAATATTAATGTTAAATATAATGATAAGATCATCTAACAAGTAGCAAGTACTAAATTTCTGGGTATAGTTGGATCAAAATTGCGACTGGAAAACACATGTCACGGTATCAATCAACTGATGCCGCTCTATGTGCATATCACGGATATGTTTCGTCAGTACTATCATATTATGGTCTTTTATTGTGGGGCAATTCAGTAGATATAATAAAAGTATTTAGAGTACAAAAAAAATGTGTGCGTGCAATCTATGGAGCAGGGTATACGGATAGCTGTAAGCCCTTGTTTAAAAAGTACAATATCTTGACATTAACATGTATGTACATTAAAGAAATATGAATATTTGTAAAACAACATCCTGAACACTGAAAGGCATATAGATGTAACTGGACGAAATGTAACTCCTAGAAATAAACATAATAATAAGTTTATTCTTTCCTCTCACAAATTTAGTAATAATGATAAACATACAACTTAATATTAATATGTTACAATTAATTTGTGAGAGACTGGTGTCCGTACTAGG